CTTAGTAACAAAGTGAAGAACATTGATGGAATTCCAATTGGAACAACAAGAAAGGAAAAACAAAAGCAAAAATCTCCTAACCTAGGGAAAGTTGGGGTTCCTAAAGCCCAGGGTCAGAGTTTGCCCAAACCCAAATGATCAATCTATCTTGCTGGAATATTAGGGGTCTTAACTCCACCCCTAAACAAATGGAGAAAAGGAAAATGATTTTGAACCACAGCTTGATTTGGTTGGTATAGTTGAAACCAAAGTAAGGGTTGTTAATAAGGAAGTTGCCAGGAGAAACATTATCAAAGAGTGGAGCTGGTGTGATAATTACAACAGTCACACTTTGGGTAGGGTGTGGATTGGGTGGAATCCTCAAAACATCAGTGTTCAGAAATTTGCTGAAATGAATCAAGCTATTCATTGCAAGGTCACTCATCATGCAAGTATGACTTCATTTACACTTTCTATTGTTTATGGTTCTAATGATGATATTGAGAGGAGAAGACTTTGGAGGGTCATGGAAGGTGTATCAAGGACTACTGTTAATGTTCCCTGGATAATCCTTAGTGACTTAATGTGGTTAGATCAGTTGAAGAAATTCTGGTGGCTCAACTAGAAGGACCTTGGCCATGGATGAATTTGAAGATGTCATTCATGCAGCTGAGATCACTGACCTTAGATACTATGGAGTTCAATTTACTTGGTGTAATAATAGAGGTCAAGACTGTACTGTTAGGAAACTGGATAGAGTTATGGTAATGAAACTTGGATTCTAAAATTCCCAATGGCAGAAACTGAGTTTCTCCCTTTAGTATTTCTGATCATAGTCCCATAGTGGTTAAAGTGGAAAAAGAAATCAAAGCTAAGAAGTGCCCTTTTAAGTTCTTCAATTTCATTGTTGAGAGGGAGGATTTTCTTTCCATTGTTAATAATGTTTGGCAAACTCAAATTAGGGGAACTATTCAATTCCAAGTCAACCAAAAGCTTAAGCTCTTGAAAGTTGAGTTCAAAAAAGTCAACAAGGAAAAAGTTGGTGATGTTATGATCAAGGCTTTGGAGGCAAAGGAGCAACTTTCTGCTTGCCAAAGGCGGCTTGTTATCAATTCCTTGACCAATCACTCAGGATTCTTGAAAAAGAATTGGTGGGTAAATGCTTTAAGGCCTTCAAGGTTGAAGAAGATTTTCTGAGACAGAAGTCTAGAATCCAATGGTTAGCAGCAGGTGACAAAAACTTATCCTTCTTTTTCAAATCCATCTCAAGTAGAAAGAACAATTCCAAGAGTATCACTTTACAAAGACAGGATGGGTATATTGCTAAAGGTGATAGGGAAATTAAAGATGAGGCTGTGAATTTTTTTCCATAACTTGATGGGTAGGAAAAGGTCTCATGAGCCTTATAGAACTTCTGCTATATGGAACAGTTTGCAAATCACCATTACAAGGGAGCAATCTCAGATTCTTAGCAATGAGGTTATTGGGGATGAAATTAAAGCAGTGTGTTTCTCTCTCAATCCCAATAAAGCTCCAGGTCCTGATGGTTTCAATGGGTTTTTCTTCCAAAAGGCATGGTCTGTCATTGGTGAAGATATTGTTGTTGCGGTTAAAGAATGCTTTACCACTGGTCAGCTTCTCAAGGAATTGAATACTACTATTATTGCTTTTGTTCCTAAAGTCCCCAATCCCACAAGCATGTCTGATTTTAGGTCCATCTCATGTTGTAATACCCTCTATAAGGTAATCTCCAAAATCATAGCAAGTAGGCTAAAAATTCTACTTCCCCATGTGATCAACTCAACTCAAACTATCTTTATAAAGGGAACGAGAATAGGGGTCAATATTCTTATGGCCCAGGAATTGCTAAGGAACTATCATAAGAATGATAGGCCCTCCAAGTGTGCTATCAAGGTTGATTTAATGAAAGCTTTTGACATGGTTGACTGGGATTTCTTGCTCGATGTGCTTGTTGCTCTTAATCTCCCCAGAGTCGTGGTCAAATGGATTAGTGAATGCATTACTACTCCCAAGTTTTCTATCAATGTTAATGGTGAATTAGCATAATACTTCCCAATTGGCAGAGGTCTTTGACAAGGTGACCCAATGTCTCCTTATTTATCTATCATTGTGATGGATGTGCTGTCAAGAATTCTTGAGCAAGGCATTCATGATGAGTCTCAGTTTAAATATCATTGGAGATGCAGAAGACAAAAGATCTCCCATCTTTGCTTTGCAGATGATTTAACCATGTTATGTCATAGGGACCCTAAATCAGTTGAAGTTCTTAGACGGGCTCTGGATAAATTTCAAATGTTATCTGGCTTAAAGGCTAATCCTTCCAAGAGCCACATCTTCCTTTCAGGTGTTCAAGATGAGCAACAACAGTTGATGGTTGAGTGTTTTGGTTTTCCTATTGGTTGTCTGCCTATGAAACATCTTGGGATCCCTATTATCACCACTAAGCTCAAGTTGCAAGACTGCTCTTTATTACTTGAAAAAGTGGACTCAAGGATAAACTCCCGGGTTAATAGAGCTCTGTCTTATGCTGGCATTCAAGTTTATTGGGCTAGTCATCTTATGCTTCCTAAGAAGATTCTACATGCTATTGATCAGAAACTAAGATCATTTTTATGGTCTGGTACTGAAATGAAAACAAAGGGGGCCAAGGTTGCTTGGAGTGAGGTTTGTGTACCCATAAAGGAAGGGGGATTAGGATTGAAAGATTTAAGGGCTTGGAACAAAGCTCTTATGCTCAAGCACCTCTGACACTTAATTTATGATGAGAACAACACTTGGACCAGCTGGATCAAGGAGCATCATCTTAGAGGCAAAAGCATTTGGGAAGTCAAAACTCCACAGATATGTTCATGGAACTGGAGGAAGCTGCTACAAGTTAGGGAATTAGCAAGACCTTTCCTTCATTATGTTATTGGCAATGGTAGGAATACATCTCTCTGGCATGATTTTTGGCATCCTAATGGTCCTCTCCTTCTTAAATGGGGTCCTAGAGTTATTTATGATTCTGGGATCACTTAGAATGCTAAAGTTGCTTCCATTATCCAAGGAAACCAATGGAGGTGGCCTTCAACAACTCCTAGAAACTCCAAAATTATTGATGAGATCTTATCTTCTATGCCCAATTACTCCCCTACAATTGAGAAAAAGGATGAGATCAAATGGCTTCCCCATATCAATGGCAAGTTTTCTACCTCTTCAGCTTGGAATCAAATTAGGAGCAGGAAACCAGAGGTGTTGTGGTACCATCTCCTTTGGTTCAATCTTTGCATTCCTTGGGCCAGTTTTATCCTTTGGCTTGCTATAAGGTGTAGACTGGCCACAAAGGATAGAATCCATAGTTTTTCACCCAACATTGGAACTACTTGTGTACTTTGCAGAGCTGATCAAGAATCACACTCCCATCTTTTTTTTGAATGCTCATACTCAGAAAGAGTTTAGAAGAATGTCATCAGTAAGTGTGATTGGCCATGACAATCTTCTTCTTGGCAAAGTCTCATTGAGGCTATGTCCACCCAATGGAAAGGCAAACACGTTCAAAATTCCATTAGGAAATTATGCCTTGCTGTCACTGTTTATATTATTTGGGGAGAAAGAAATCATAGAATTTTCACCAATGAGCACAATGATCCAGGTACTACCCAGATGATGATTTTGAATATGGTGAGAAGTAGGCTTCTTTCAATCAAAATCAAGGACACCCATCTTCATAGACAAACTGCTTCTTCTTGGCAACTTCCAAGCTCTTGTTTTTGCACCTGATGTAAATTCGGTTTGTTGTTTACTGGCTTTGTAATTTGTGGGGAGTGCAAAATGCAACCCCCCCCCCAGACTTCCTCTGCCTGCTTTTGTTGGACTGGTTGTAGGTTGTTGCAGTCTTGTCCTTGTGTCTCTATTTTTGTTCTGTTTCCCTTTGGGATTGTGTTGCTATGTACATTTGCATACTCAATATATCTTCTTGATTTATTTACCCAAAAAAGAAATCAATGGTTGTAATTATCAAGTCTAATTTATAAATTTATTTTTTAATTCATCTAGCATTGCTCTAAGGTTTTACGAACCAACAATGAGAGATAAAAAGTGTAAAAAAAAAAGAGAAAATGTATAGATAGAGTAAAAAGTTACTGTCGAATAATAATAGAAGGGAGAGACACTGTTAGAGGTGATGGTGGCGAATTTGAAGATAAAAGTAAGAGAGACAAAAATTTGTTCCATTGAACGAGGCCCATTCATGTGCAATGAGTTTCATCTGCATTCAAAGGAAAAATCATGTGCAATGTTTCATGAGTTTCATCTGCATTCAATGGAAAATTCATGTGCAATGAGTTTCATCTGCATTCAAAGGAAAATTATGTGGAAAAATATTTTAGAGTAGATCTAACTTACTATCAATCACCATTATTCATGCCCAATTGCCCATCAATATTGAACTCCTCCGTAGGAAGGGAAAATCAAATTTCTGTCCCAAAATTTTTTAAAATTGCATCATTAAGATTCTAAATTTTCATATCTCACCCTCAATATATAAAATTATTGAAATGTGGCCTATCACTAACCACTTATTATATAATTCTTTTTCATTTAACATGGTGTCCCTATTTTTTTTTTAATTTATAACTTTGCCCAAAGTCATTTTTGTTAATTTGTTGTCCCATATAGGACATGCTAACACTAAATTACATGTTAATTTGGTGGTTCAATTTTATAAAATAAAAAAGTTTACCCCTAATCATTCAATTTTACAAAAATAACATTAGATTTTTGTTAATTTAATTTATAGCTGTCAATGTTCATTTGATATTAATTTGATTAAATTGACTAAAATTTGATGAAATTGAATGGTAATTTGGTATTAATTTAAAAAAAATTATATTAATTTGATGAAACTAAATGTTAAATTCATAAAATTGAATGTAAATTGGATAAAATTAAATATTCATTTTATAGAATTAAAAGTTAATTTGGTATAAAATTGAAGAAACAATATAAAATGTTTCATTCATGAAATTTAATGTTAATTTTATAAAATTGAATGAAAATTTAGTATTGATTTGATGTAATCAAATGTTAATTTGAATTTAAATTATAAAATTACATTAATTTGATAAATAGAATGTTAAATTGATGAAATTAAATGCAAATATGATAGAATTAAAGGTTATTTTAGTGTTAATTTGACAAAATTAAATTTTAGATTTGATAAAATTGAATAATTATCAAATATTAATTTAGTGGTAATTTCATAAAATTGAATATTGATTTGATGAGATTGAATGTTAATTTGCTGAAATAAAATAGTAATTTAATGAAATTTAATGTTAATTTGATAAAACTGAATGTTTAATTAATAAGAGTAGTTAATTTGGTGTTAATTTGATGAAGTTTAATGTGTAGTAAAATTGATTTTGGTATTACTCCTTGAATGTGAATTGAATGAATTAATTGCTAATTGAATGTGAACATCAATTTGACAAATTTTTATGTTGATATGATAAAATTTATGATTAATTTAGTATTAATTTGATTAAATTGAATATTAATTTAGTGTTAATTTTATTAAATTAAACATTAATTGAATATTAGTTTATAAAATTAAATTAAAAGTCAATTTGATGAAATTGTATATTAATTTTGTATTAATTTAATGTAATTATGTTAATAATGGTATTATGTGGGTAATTATGTGAAATCAAATATAAGAGTAATTATGTAAGGATAAATTCAAATAGCACCCCCGTAAAATGGGGAATCTTCCCTGAACAAGATTTTGTGGTTATGTGAAAGAGAGACTCCGTACAGTATAAATTCTAATGTGACGTCACATAATAATTGGTTATGCCTGGCACGTGCACCAAACGTACGGAAACCTTACCGCCTAAAAAAACGAATCTCTCTCTCTCTCTCTCTCTTTTAATTTCAATATGAATAAGAATAAATGATACGACGTATTACATCGTAGTTTGTTTGAAAACTCTTATTTATATCATTTTAATTATTATATAATATTATTATGTTGTTAATATAAAAAAAAATAATAATAATAATAAATATATTTGTATTCATGTCTAAAATTAAATCACAAATATAAAAAAAAAATAAATAAATTTAAACATTTATTTATAATTGGGGTGAGAGGTGGTGGTGGTGGTGGTAGGAAACGATAATAGTTGTGATAGGTAGAAATAACCGTGGTGGGGGCGAGGGCAGCGGCAACGATAGTGGTGGTGGTGGCAGCGACGGTAGTGCTGGTGGTAGTAGCACCGACGGTGGTGACGGTGGCAATGGTGGTGATAGTGGTGGTGATAGTGGTTGAAGGGGCGACAGTAACGACGACGGCGGTGGTAGTGGTGAGAGTGGTTGTGGTGGTGGTGGAGGTAGTGATAATGGTGGTGGTGATGGCGTCGGTGGTGGCGACGACTGCGGTGGTGGCGGGGGTGGTGATGGTGACGACGACGACGACGATGGTGGCGGCTGCGATGGTGGTT